CCCCGTTGGAAGCAAATACGGTTAGCTTGAAAGCAGTCTTGCTTTACCGGCTGTTAGGGTGTCCAACCACCCCCTATATAAATAGCGGCCCCAACTTAAGCTGCATTTATTTAGACACGTGCTCCCGTGTTTTCATCTTATGGACAAAATTGTTGAGAGAGTTTCCGATTTTCATCTCTCTCACTGGATTTGGATATGTGCCTGCAATCCTAAGACATGTATTTCTATCTTGTGGACATCGAATCTTTGTTTTGGCAGCGTATGTCAATCTTTTATTCAAGTGTTAGGCTACGAATGCCGAAACACCCCTTATTTATCATCTTTTCATTTGTTAAAATCATGGACTTAAGTTCCAATGGCAGATTGAGGAACTAAAGTTCCTATTTTAATCTTTTTAACCCCGGTACCTTCTCATGACATGACATCACCCAGGATAGCCTTTACTTGAAAAGGCATTCTATACTTGCAAATGATCAATTTAGATTCTTTAGCGCACTAAGTTCAGAAAATACTTTTCTGGTCTTACTAGCTACTTGTCTTGAACATTTAGTGAATCGAGAATAGTTTCGACATTCTCAACACTATTGAAACATTCCTTATCTTTAGGAACTTTGCAGAATGAGTCTCGGATTTATTTCCTTGACTACTATGATCATCATCTATTCTAGACTCGATCAAAGTGGGGGCTAACAGTAGACATCTAATTTTGGTCCCTTGTCCCGACTGGAAGTGCTATAACAATAAATAATTCCATCTTTGTGCTGGATTGGAGTAAGGAATGTTTATGGACTACTGATTAAAGCCTAAACACATAAACTAGCTAGCTTAGCCCAAATGAAATGAATTAAAACTCATTAACACTAAGCCCGATAAGAAATTAAGCTTAATCCAAAGATTAAACCTAATTTCGGACGGATTTAGAGCGCCTAAGTCAAAATCTAGGGCTGCCGCAGGAAAATCCGCGCGCAACTCATAAGGTTGCTCACGGCATCTAGCGCAATCCTGAGAGATTCGCTTGCGGAATATTTAGAATTTTTGAAAAAAAATGAATCGAAACTTACCATACAACCCCGCCCAAGAATACAAGGCAGCGCAACCTACTCACTTGCGCGCGGAAGCCACGCGTAACCTTCACAGTTGCGCGCACCACCTGTTGCGGCAGAATCTCCGAAACCCTAATCTCACCCATTCCCTATAAGTAGAGGTTTAATACGAGCTCCAAACACACAGAAAAATAGCCTAAAAGTCAGTAGTAACATCTTTTTGAACTTATGCAATAATCAACCCTCTTGTCCTAAACAAATACCCTTTAATTGTCTTGTTCTTACAATGGAGGTTCCCCAACAAGAAGGTGTCCGTAAACATTCTAAATGAAGATCTAGCAAGGAAAAGTGGTAATTCCCGAGCGCTTGGATAAATCACTTTACTTTTCTTGTCTTAAATCACCTAAAATGATTAATTATTGTTGCTTGATCACATCAAACGAATATTTAATTAATCAATTCAGCAAAGTATTCTTTCGTTAAATAAGACTAGAATTAAATTTATTGATTTATTGTTTTTAATCACCTAAGCCAAGGCGAATCTTATTTATTATTGTTCTTTCAAGAATTCGGAATAAAGAAGAATAACGAAATTCGTTGTAATGTAATCCATATGTGATTAACTTGTGTAAATAAAATCAACTAACTTAGTTTTTGGTATCACGTGCATATATTGTTTGGTGATGAAATTGTGAAAAAGGAAGAGCTAGTAGAGGCCGTAATAGGGCTAGGATAGCGAATCCCCCTAAAGGGAACGTTATTTTAGTACCCTCGCTCATGAACTCATCTCTGATACAAGTAGACCAATTTTGGCATGGGTAAACTTATGATTCGTGATAAATATCTCTTAAACTCTACTTGGGAGAAAGGCATGAATGAGGTTTATGAGTTTTTCCTAAAACTCATTGGCGACTCTTTATTGGTTTCTTATAAAAAAAGCATAATGATATAATCAATTCTAATTCAAGGTCCCCAAACATTCAGGAATTCAAATCCTAACATATTTTCAAAAAGTGTAAAGTTCTAGGCTTTTAAAGGGACACGGGCATAGAGGAAGTGGGATCCCCAACGACGGCTACCCTTCTCACAAAGGTCTAACTAAATTCTAAATGTAATAAAGCAATACTACCAATATAACAATGTTGCTAAATATCTTAGTTAATAATAAGGCCTAAATCTATCTTTAAACAAGATAAACGTAAAAATAAAATTTGATTAGCAGTTTTATTTAACCAAAGGGTTAGATAAACTCTATGTAATAATAATAATAATAATAATAATAATAATAATAATAATAATAATAATAATAATAATAATAATAATAATAATAATAATAATAATAATAATAATAATAATAATAATAATAATAATAATAATAATAATAATAATAATAATAATAATAATAATAATAATAATAATAATAATAATAATAATAATAATAATAATAATAATAATAATAATAATAATAATAATAATAATAATAATAATAATAATAATTACAAATTAGTTAAATTCTAACGATTTTTTGTGTACATTATTGCCAAAAACGGTGTAATAAAGTGCAAATTACGTTTAATTGTTTTAAGCTAAGCCTTTAACATTGGTCGAAGCCTGCCTTAATGTAATAGAGAAGAGTGGTTGTGGCTCGATCATTATCCAAATCGAATTCATGTTATATACAATTATTTGTACATACAATTATTACTTCGCATTAGAGATGAACCAAATATTATAGGAGAACCTGTTGCAAAAAAATTTATTCATCCATGATTTTGTCATGCAACAAAGGAATTTTTTGAGGATTTGACTCTTCCTCTATGCTATACATCAACTTATTTTCTTCATCTTTCTTATCGAGCATCTCTTCTTCAGATTTTCCTTTTATCAATGTATAGAATCCAACTGCTATAATCAATCCTCCAATTACACTGCACAACAAGAACTATAGAATTTAATATTATCCATTAATTAAACAATATTCCTGTAAATGAAAATTTTAAGTAAACATGTCAATAAATTAAATAATTATATCTTAGTCGTTCTCCTCTCCCTTTTTCTCTAGGTCTTTCAAAACTCAAAATTGTTTTTGGCTATTCCGGATAATATCTGAGTTTTTAAGAGAGGATCCAAAATAACACCCTAAAATTCTTATTTTTCAAAATTTGAAAAAAAAATAAAAACTACATTGTTTGTATGTATGAGCTTTCCTTAGTACGTAGTAATTGTTGAGTATGAGTATGGAGTTTAGTTTAGTATTGGTGGAGTAACGTAGATTTGGTTCCTTGATAAAGAATCATATGCTATAGCAAGAGTTTTCAGTTTTAGGAATACAAGTAGAGGGAATCGGGTGAAAATTTTCCTCATGACTACAACAATTTGTTAGACCATTAATTTAAAAAAGTTGTACATTCAAGCGATATGTGCAAGAGATAAACTAACAGTGAAAATCTATTTTATGATCTGATGAAGGAGATCATCATTATTTGATTTGAATGGTTATGTATTTGCTATATTCATATTTCTTTTATAAATGTAGTATAACTAAATATTAATAATATAATTTTACTATAAAAAAATTATTTATCCAGAGTTTTGTTTGGGGCATCTACAGATTATGGTCAATTGATCATTATATATATAAGCTAGAGTTCGAGTTTCAAATTGAACCAACAATGTACGCCCTCCATTTTTAAGTACTTGCTCCATTTTTTAATACTTGTTCCATTTCCTTATTTGAAAAACTTTTACAATATTTAATTCATTTTTCTCAACTAGTGGACCCAACATAAATTATATTTTATTAATTTCATATTCACTCTCCTCCAATTCTCTCAACTACTTTTGCTTTTTATAATTTTTTATTGTTCCACTTACCCCACTACCTCCATATATTATTACTTTCTCTAATTTTTCCTAAAACTCCGCGAACGGAAAAATGGAGCAAGTGTTTAAAAACGGAGGGAGTATCAAGCTTAGTTCTTAATAGTATATTATAGTGATAAAATCAAATTAAACTCAACAATAAGCAAGGTATAAGAAATTGACCAAGTGGAAACTATGGTACCTCCCAAGGTGTGGCACATCCCCAAGGAACAATGCTCCCAATACAACTGCGATAATCATTTGAAGTGGCTTAAACAGCTATAAATACTGGTCCCTTCACTCTGCATGCCCATGTGTCCACAATATTTAACGAACCAAATGTTACTGCCTGTTCAAAGTTTAGACAATATTTCAATATTAATTTAGGTAAAATTGATATAATATCTTCTTTAATTTTTAGTTGCCACAAACAAATTTTTTATATCTCGCAAATAATACCCCGTTGTTACAATTAAAAAGTAACGGAGGTAAGTTGAATGATAAATTTCAATATAATTTGGTCTAAGAAGAGAACAAATTATAAGAATTACCCCAAAGAGAATTGAAACTAGTTCGATACCAATTGTTGGTGTCCAAACACTTGCATCATTTTCCACAATTAAAGTAACGATTCATACAATTATAGTCTCAAAGATAAATGTAATTAGTATTATTAGCACTTCCGAAGGGTAATCTCTTGCAATCCAAGTCTGAAAAAAAAGAAATGAAGTGATTAATAACCGAAAAATAATACATGTTGACCTTAGACATGTTCATGGGAAAAACGGCAACAGTCGCAAAAAAAAAAATAATAATAAAAAAAAAGTGTAATAACATTATATGACGTATGATTTTATTATAAGTGACAAAAAACATATCTATCTATTGAGTATTTTAATACTTTAATGAATTCGAATAAAATATTACCTTTGTCACATACGCCAATGAAAGGAGTAAGCAAGTCATTGAGAGAAATGCCCCTCCAACAACCCAATTTGGTTGAGGTTGAAGTTGCATTAGAGAATGGAGAGATGGCTTGGTAGGTGAAGGGAATATACTACTGATTGGGAGTCCTAGATAGAAGATCACTACGAATGCTCCACTAATTGATACTATGGTTCCTATCAACTTTAGTATCCTACTTTGTGAACGTAGATTCAAAATCTCCATCCTAAATCCCACAATTTATATATGGAGTACACATTAAATAATGATATGTTCAGCTCAACTTATTTAAGAAAACATGTAGGATTTTTTAAAAATAGGTTATACCACATCTCAGTTCAACTTAATTTAGAAATTATGTATGATTTTATGACTAATTAGATTAGGCCACATCAAATTAAACCATTTTTTTTAATTTGCATTTTCTTATTGATCATTAGAACATATAATTCTATACAAAAAAATTATGAAAATACGAACATATGTATACAAATCTTATTTGATAATTGGTTTTTTTAAAATGATTAGCTTACAAATAAGTTTAAAGTTTAGTCAAAGTAACAAATCAAATCAAATCAGAAATGAAACGAATCACATTAGATGAAGTGAATTCAACATAGCCTAAATTATGCTCCATTTTTCAAATAAACTATGTGCTCCATCCCCATATATATGTACACATAAAATAAACACAATATACACTCCATTTATTGATCTAAATATATAGTTACCTGAAAATGATGGCTACAATGAAAGTAAAAGCAAGTGAAAGATTAATCGTTGCTGATGCAAGTGTTGGTGAGCTATAGCGTAATCCAGTGTAGAAAAAGATCGAAACACCAAACTGCATATGAATTTAGTAAAATTATTTATATACTCGATCAGTGCAACCAGGGTGTATCTAAGATATTTGAAATGAGATGTTTCCTTGGATCATCCTCGTATATGATTTTTTTTTTTCAACAGTTTTCAATGTATATATATATCCAACCAAATTTATCTTTAATGACGTATATTCAAAAGTAATGATAAACTAATATTTTGAAATTGCACTTAAAACAAGGTTTTTTTTTGGTAAATAACCACCCTAAGATGTACCCTGTAATGAACTAACCACCCATTTTTTTCGAAATTAAAAAATACCACCCATTAATGTCAAAATCAGTAGATTTCACTACCCTTCTCCAATTCCGGCCAGTTTTCCGACTTAGTCCGGTCAGTTTCCCGACTTAGGGACCCACAAAATATAAAATCAAAATTACATTATAAATAAATAAATAAATAAATAAAATAAAATAAAATAAAAAAACCAAACCCACCACTGCCACCTCCGACAACCCCTTCCCTTCCCCGTTTCCATTTCCGGCACCCCTTACCTTCCCCGTCCCCGTTCCAGCAATCTCCTCCACTTCTCAATCTCACCACCACCTTCACAACCACCACAACCCACCTCTTCTATCCATCGTCACCACTGTCAACCCATATCTCTAGAGAAATCAACGACTCTCTGAACCTCCTCCTCTTCCTCTTTCTCTCTCTTCTTCAATCAATTACAAACTCACTTGAAAATTTCAAAAGTTTTGTACATGCTTCAAATCCATAGTTGGTTGAATTAATTCAACAATCTTATCAAACCAACAAATCAAAACTCTAAAAAAACAGAAAATTAAATTAACAAAAAAATTAAAGAGTGCAAACTTGGAATGAGAAGAGGAAGCGGCGACGTGGGGGTTTCGTGAGGAAATGGCGACGTGGGTAGGGGTTTTGTGAGGGAGCGGCGAAGTGGGTGGGGTTTCGTGTGGAAGCGGCGACGTGGGGGCTAGGTGGGGTTTCGCAAGCAAGGGTTGGGGCTTGGTGAGGTTCGCCGGCAGGAACAGTGGCTGGTTGGGGTGATGGTGGTCCGGCAGGTGGTTGATGTGGGTGGGGTGGCAGGAGATGGGGCAGCTGCCAGGGGCTGGGGTTAAGTGAATTCACTTTTTTTTTTTTAAGAAAAAAAATTATTTTATTTTTATCTTTTTTATTTTTGAGCAATTACAAGGTGACACGTGTACCCTAAGTCGAAAAACTAGTCAAAATTGGAGAAGGGTGGTGAAATCTACTGGTTTTGACATTAATGGGTGGTATTTTTTAATTTTGAAAAAACGGGTGGTTAGTTCAATACAGGACACATTTTGAGGTGGTTATTTACAATAAATCCTATTTTTAATGTTAAACAACATTTTGAACATTTTTTACTTTAACGGACCAAATAAAATGGTAGATTTCGTTCATAATACCATTTTAGTAAGTTATCTATTTTTAGTTTGATTTGTGTAACTAGTATTTTGAACTTAATTGCATTGTGTGTACTTGTTGTGAACCATAAAGTATGAGGTAATAGTAAACTTATTTGTTTCTTTACTTATTTAAATGTATCAATTTCCTATTTGTTTGAATCGTTATTTATTTTACAGTGATATTTATATATTATGGAATAGTAACAAATTCAATTTTACAGTGGTTTTAAAATATTATGGAATTGTAACAATGATATTGACATGGAGGAGTGACTTTGTACTGGGTATTGACTACTACGAGTAGATATTATTGAGGCATCTATTTCGTAGCTTGTTAAATTGCATAAAATTTTTAGTTTTAATGTTGGTTATTTCATAGCATCATACGTTTATTTGCAGTATCAAGTTTTGATATATGGTATATATTTGACGAACTTCAAAGAACGTAAAATATGTATTAAAAAGGCAAAATAGATTATTATTATCGGAGAAATTCTAACAACAACAGAAACACCCATAGCAACTACAAAAGAAGAGGAGTAAAAAAAAAAAAAAAAAAAAAGGACTAAGATTAATTGACCCTTAAAGCTTAAAACTGACGACCCTTAAGGTGTAAAACAAACAAAGGTAAATTTAAACGCTTGCGATAAACAAAGTGAAGGAAGATTGTATGAAGTTCCATCTTCAATCCTTGATAAACCAACGCCTTTGTAATTTGAAAAAGGGTATATAATTTAATTCCACCATGTGTGTTAATTCTAATTCTGGAAATAAGTTGTAAATCCTCCTCTTCCTCATTCCATCATGTGTGTTAATGAGGTATTTGATCCCTCTTGATAATGGCCGGTACCTCATAGGCACACTCCAGTTGCAAATATCACAATCCATTAATTCTTCAAAGCAGTGATGTTTTACCCAGCAAGTAGCTATGTTGATTCAAACGAGATCCCTGCAACAAAATGATTCAAGTTAAGTATACTCTACATCTAAATTGTCATTTATCCTTTGTCCTACCATCTCATTATATTTATAGTTCAATGACATCAGATTTAGGAGGTGGAAGATCTCGTTTATCTTTGGGTAGATATGCTCTTTAAACATAAGATCCCAATGACCGAAGTTGTTCTTCAAGAATTTGTTTGAAGGCAACATACAATAAAAATATTTAACAGTGTACTATCTCAGCAAAGTCAAAATTCAACACACTAACATACAAAGTAATAAACAAATTATTACAAGTCCTAAACTTACCAAAAGCTACAAACATATCTAGACTTGAAATAACTTGTCAAAGTAGCTAACTTCTCCTCCAAGACTATGTTAAGCATCAACTTTATAATGTTAAAATAATCTACAATAGTAAAATAGACTTTTATTACATGATCTTGAAGATTATAAATTCAAACCAAATTCTACAAAGAATTCTATCTACAACAAACTGTTTATTTTCATCAGAAAAATGGATCCTTTAATACTAATCCTCATCACCCCTATAATATTTTTGGTTCTATATTCTTTTACTAGAGTTTTATATTCACTTTGGTGGAAGCCAAAATGGTTGGAAAAGAAACTAAAGCAACAAGGTATAAAAGGCACCCCTTACACGTTTTTAACTGGAGACATGAAAGAATGGGTGAAGCAAGTAGAGGATGCTTGGTCCAAACCAGCCAACCTTAACCACCAGATCGCAGCTCGTGTCGATCCTCTCACTCATAGTATTTCCCAGAATTATGGTATGTGAGTGACTTGTGTCTATCCAATTTGTTAATCTTTCTAAGAATGACAATATAATATGTAGTAGGTCTTTGCAAGAGAATATAGTTGCTACAACTATCGTACGAATTTTAGGATCTTACAATTCTACGATCCAAAGAAATATGGTGGATTTGAATCCTTGTTTAAGTCTTGTGTTGTGTCATTACTTATGAAGTTCTATGTTTATAATATCATTACTTGCAAAGTAAAGAGTCAACCTTTCAGAGACCAGGTAATAATCTAGCATTTCATCCATAATTTTGTGATAATCAACTTCTTTGACTCTTTCTAATTTTATTACACTACCACTTTCAGATTATATATGTAAGAAAGAGACCTAAGCAAAGATAAAATGTACATGCAGTTCAAAAATAATACACCTGCCCATTTTTGTTGTAAGTTAAATAGAACTAAGATAGCAATTGAGGCAAACAGTTGAAATTTGCTGTAAAATAACAGTTCAATATAAGATTGGGATTGAACATGTTTTATGAAAATAGGGAAGGTATCCATGTGCTGGGCAGGCTCAACGCCGAGGCTGATTATCAAGGACGCGGAGATGATGAAACAAGTGTTAAGTAATAAGGAAGGTCATTTTGAAAAGCTATACATAGACCCCTAACTCTTATTCATAACTGGGGGTCTTACCACTTTGGAAGGTGAAAAGTGGACAAAACACAGAAGGATCATCAACCCTTCTTTCCATATAGAGAGGCTAAAGGTCTGTTCATAATACTGTTCTTCCTATTTTTTTGCTTCAGAGGTCTGATTCTGTCATATATTAGTTCACTTTAGAACATGGTACCTGATATGGCCGCTGCTTGTGGTGAGTTCATCGAGAAAAGGAAGAACTTGGCTGGTGCTGAGGGAAGTTGTGAAGTTGACATCTGGCCTGAGTTTTAGAATCTGATAGCAGATGTAATTTCGAGAACAGCGTTTGGGAGCAACTATGCAAAAGGGAGACACATTTTTGAGCTTCAGAAGGAGCTTTTGAATCTTGTGATAGAAGCAATGCAGACATTGTACATTCCTGGTCTCAGGTATATCCTTTTAGTGCTTCTGTAAGTTAGTGTAAAGGGAGAACAGTTCATGATAAAACAGGATTAAATTTCCTGCAGATATATTCCTACTAAAAAGAATCGGAGGAGAAAAGAATTAAGATGATCACATCAATGCTCACAGATGTGATCAGGAAAAAGGAGAGTGCTGTCAAAACTGGAGAATCAAAGGCGGATGACTTGCTAGCCTTGCTTCTGCAGTCTAATCAACACAGCAATGAAGCAGAAAATGCTACAATTCTGAAATAAGGCGGGTTAACCATAGAGGAAGTGATTGAAGAGTGCAAGCAATTCTACTTAGCTGGCCAAGAAACAACCGCAAGCTTACTTAATTGGGCTACGATAGTATTAGCTATGCATCCAGATTGGCAAGAGAAAGCAAGAAAAGAAGTCATAGGAGTTTGTAGGAAAAACTCTATAGATTTCGAAGCAACTACTTACCTCAGGACAGTAAGTTTGTCTTATCAGATTGTATTTCAATTCTAAGAGTTATGTCTTAAATAAATAATGCTCTAAACTTTATGATATGTAAGATATAAAAGCGGTTAAAGAATATTTTCCTCTCTGGTACTTTAGGTTAATATGATACTTCTGGAGGATCTAAGGCTATACTCACCTGTGATTGCCCAATACCAACATACTTACAAAGAAACCAAACTTGGAGACTTCTCATCCCAGCAGGAGTTGATGTCACACTTCCTACACTACTTATCCATCATGACCCTGATATCTGGGGAGACGATGTGGATGAGTTCAACCCAAAGAGATTTTCTGAGGGAGTTTCAAAAGCATCCAAAGATCAACTCGTGTTCTTCCCCTTTGGATTTGGTCCAAGGACTTGTGTTGGTCAAAATTTTGCTCAAGTTGAAGCGAAGGTGGCTTTATCTATGATTCTACAGAACTTCTCCTTTCAGCTCTCCCCATCCTACAGTCATGCTCCCCACACTGTTATGATGCTTCAACCGCAGCATGGAGCTCATATTATAATGTATCCTTACCATGCTCAATAGTTCAAAAACTTTAAACATTAGGGTAAATGTAATCTAATAATCCCACCTTTAGTCGGTCTTCCATAAACAATCCCACCTTTTGAAATTCCAGAAATAATCCCACCTTTAACATGGATCTTCCATTAACGATCCCTGACCGATTGAATCGTTTTGGTAACCGGTTTTCTTAGGTTTTATGACACGTGTCGATGTTTAATAGGTTTATTCTATTTTTTCCATAAAAATAAAATAAAAATAAAAAAAAAAAAAAAAAAACCACTGCCGCATCCCTTCCCGGCAACCAAACTCAGGCGTCATCATCGCCCCTCCACATCACTGTAGCAGCCGCATTCCTTCAATTCCCCGGCAACCCAACTCAGGCATCATCTCTTCCCCGACAACCCTAATGGGCGAGTGATTGATTCAATCATCACCACGCATCATCATCACCACACGTGTTTCTTCTTGGTAGTGCACTTCATCATCACCACGCATCATCAACATCTTTCATCAATGGTTTAATTAAGCTCAATCATGGCAGTTGTATTGATTCAATTTCATTCATACCGTACAATTTCACAAGCGAAATATGGTTTTGGGTGATGATGTTCAGTTCATGTGGGGGTTAGGGTTTCAAATGGGGTCGGGTTTCAGCTAAGGTGAGGGCGGGGTGGGGCTGCAGCCAGGGGAAATGGTTGGGATGGTGGATTGAACTTGCCGCGGCGAAAGAATTCATGGTTGGTGGAGGAATGCGTGGGTGTTATTAGGGGGTTGCTGGTGGAGGAGTGCGTGGGTGTAAGAGGGTTGCAGGTGGAGGAGTGCGTGGGTGGTAACTGGTAAGGGGTTGCTGGTGGGGTTTTGTGAGGGTTGTGCCTGGTGCTGGGTGACTGGTGGTTGGTAAGGAGTGAGGAGTCGAGGAGGTAGTGGTTTGGGTGGCTCGGGTGGTAAACAGGGAGGGAGGTGGGAGGAGATGAATTAAAAAAATAAAAAAAGTTTGACCGGTTTAACCGGTAATAGGTCAAAAGGATCGTTAATGGAAGATCCATGTTAAGGTGGGATTGTTTCTAAAATTTCAAAAGGTGGGATTGTTTATGGAAGACCGACTAAAGGTGAGATTATTATATTACAATTTTCCTAAACATTAAACAAGCTGCAACTTTGTTATAAATCTCCTACCATGTGTATTGTATACTAGTGCTTTGATGTTGTCATAATCTTACTTTTATACCTACGGAACTAGAGTGTACCCGTCCTATACGGAATAATACAAGTCTTTTTTTTTTCAAATGTGCAAAGTTGATTTTGAAAGTATCTTTTTTTTTTTTTTTTTTTTTCCTGATATAGTATGTGGTAGTTAATGAATAGTTTTGGGGGATAAGTGGATCACAATGTTGGAAGTTGTTATGTGAGAAATTGAGGGGATATATATTAATTGATATTTAAATTTTTCTTTCTTATATATTAAAATTAAAAAAATATAAAAACCTATTACATTCATGGATTTACGAAGACCAGTGCAACCAAGAAAGGAGGAAGTGAAAGAAATGCAGCATTATGAAGACTCAATGAGTGATAAGACTCATCCTTTGTTATAATCGCATCAATGATATCATAGTAATATAGTACATGTATCAACAAGTTAACTGCATCCACACATTGCTATATAGTCAAGGAACAGAACCAATTTACAAGTAAGAGTCTTAATTGGACTATTAAAATTTTTAGCAAGAAATTTCACATGAAAAAACTGAAAATATTCATTCAATAATTATATTTTGTTAATAATGTCAAAATTTTACATCATTTCAAGCACAGATGGCCTTTAAATGATGTTAAGTACACTTCCCATTGTCTTGTAATTGCAACTAATCATGTGAAGAAAAAAAAAAATTGAGCAAAAGGAACCTCTCCCTTTTTCATTGACAGGTTCTAAGAAAAGGCTTTTTTTTTTTTTTTGGTAACTATCATTGAAGGAATTATAAGGTATGGAAAGCAGACTTCTAAAGACCTTTAATGTTTAGACTGTATATTCTCTTTTCTGTAGACTATCAGATCTAAGTACTCCGTATCTTAAAGCTTAACCATTAGCAACCTAAGTCAGCAAATTTATCCAAAATAGAGTCCACATCGGGAGTTAGAATAGCACGCTTATTGAACTCCCCAACAACACAACAATGCTTCTCCGCAGAATTAATAGCCACAACATCCTGGGCAAATGTACAATCTGAACCAAGGCTTGCCTGCAACATAAAGTTAAACCATAAAAATGGGATCTCAATGCAGTGAAAACTATTGGGAAATTAGATGGGGATAGGACGAAATTCTCTAGAGCAAAGTAAAAGAACAATCACAATGCAGCAAATGTAGGCAACTTTACATTCCAAGATATTTTAATTTAAACATAGAGCAGTTCAATCCAAATACTGATGAGAGTTATGACAATAGAGTTATGAGAGTTGCTAGTGGGCAATTTAGCAATGAATTGTTTTAAGAAGGTTAAATGAAATAACTTGCTCTTTTGTCCTTGTTGGTCAACTGATGAGTTTTCAGTGGACATCTAAACAATTGCTATATAACATCAAGAATTCAACAGTGATAGAAGCCATAGAAGCCCCGTGCATTGAGTGGTTGTTATAGCAATCATATGTTATACATGATGTAAAGAGTAAAGGCAACAAAGGGGACGTTCAAGTTGTACAATCCAATTGAAGTCAAAGGCATAACACAACCGATTCAACCACTTAAAAAGAAAATATACCATCTCAGTTTTTATCTTTGTAGCCAGTTTAAGGTTAGACTCACATTACAACCATTTAATATTTGTAATTTTGTACTTACATCATAAAGGGTATCTCCAAGCTTAAGCTTCACAGCACCACTTTTGTATATCAGCAATTTTCCCATGACACCTGCTTGTAAATCTTTTAATCCAGCAGCCTTCTCTATGGGGTTTGAGCCACTTGGTGTTTTTGAGCTGCTGGTTGAATCTTGGCCTGTAGCTGAAGTTTGTTTTGTCATCGGGATAGTCGTTGGTAGCTGAAAAAACATCATCCTAGGCTCAGAATTTTCCTCCTGCCATGAAAAAGTTCAGACACATTATGCAATCTGGAACTCTATTGTTATAAATTCACATCACGTGGAGCTATTTTTAATACTCACCATAAGGCCAAGCTCCATCGCTGGGTTGGACATATTTTCGTCAAAAGTAGACACTTGCCCAAATTCTTCTTCATTAAGGATATCTGAAAGCAAGAACAAGTTGAAAAATAAAAAAAATATTAGAAATTAAAAATCTAATTTCATCTGTTGCCAAAACAACCAGCAGCAGAAAAGCTTTTACATAGAGAAGAGTTATGCATCTATATTTGACTTAAAAACAAATTACATTGAGCCACAAATTGATGGTACTCCAAAATTCAAAATCATTAAAAAAAAAAAGTCACATGCCTTGACATACCTGGATTTCCAGAATAAGGCCTTCGAATTGGAAGAGTTACAGGATAATAGCTGTAATAATTCTGTGAAAGCACGTAAAGAATCAATTACGGTACAATGAGTTCAACACAAAGGAAAATGGCAGAAAAAATTAAATGAGAGTAGGGTGATGAACAATTTGACCCATTAATGAAAAAACCTACCCATGGTTCTTTGTATTCTTTGTTCTCTCTCAGGTTGGAAAACCGAGCTTTATCTGGGTTACAAAAAATTTCTTAGGTTCATAGTAGTTTAAGGAGTGAAACCATCAAAGTAATTGCTCACAAAAATAATATACCTTGATGCCAAGAATTATTTCCATTGGAGGCACTGAATTGAGTACTGGGGATTGATGAACCATACCCAAATGCAACTCGCTGAACAGGCTCTGCTGCATACCAAGAAACCAAGAGGAAACTTCAGGTGTTATTAAAAATAAAAATTAAAATAAAAGTTTTAAAAAAAAAAATCCTTAAAGATTATTGACTAAGAACCATGTCAATTCACAATTATCCCGTTCATCTCAAAAAGGCAAGAATTTTCTCTCCAAATAGGCAAATAGCAAACAAATATGCATGCATCCATGTAGGGATCAACAATAAGAGTTAAGAAAAAGAAAACTTAAAATTAGCAGTATTTCAAACAGCTTCCATCTAACCACAGTCCTCTTCCTTGTTTAATGAGACACAATGACAACATGCATAAGCGGGCAGCCAATAAGCTGATAGCTTGATTACATTAAGCTTACTTGGCTATGGTCACCGTTTACGATTATGATTCAATCCCTAGTGGTATTTCTCTCCTATAACATGGGGATGAGGAGTAGCAGGTTGGTTGGGCTTAACCCACTTATCAAAGGATATGGTCCCTTATAAAATTTACCTAATCATTAATGAAGCCTTGGAAGATTAGGGGTCCACTCCTAGTCCTTAGTTCCTTACCTACCAAAAGAGGGAGAGAAAGCTCATGAGGATATATTTTTTTTTTTTTTTTAAAAAAAAAAACAAAATTGAGTCAAAACAATGTAAACAACATATAAATGCTAACTTGACCAAACAAAATTTGTTAGCTTTTAGGATTCTTCAATGAAATGGGTAATTTTGGTACTCTTGAGCATTCTTGATCATAATGCTCATGTGCTTGACGCTCATATCTTAGATGCAGAGCAAGGAGTAAAGACTCAGAAAAAAAACTCACATTTTTTATTAATCTTAGGCTTCGCTGTTAAGCCATCCTATAAAGGAAAAGCAATAGATTAGAACAGGAAAAATTTGCTTACATATAATGATGACAGAAGATGGGGAAATAGATGTTCAATGGATATCAGCAAAACCTGAAAACGTCGCACTAACTCTTTTGCCTCAGCAGTTTCAGCATCATCAATCACTTCACTGGAAACAAAAGACATTAATTGGCTATATATACACTGCAGAGTTAGTCCCCCGAAAACCACACTACTAAAGCAATAACACCATACGTTTTTGCAACAGCAGCTTTTGTTGCTTTGCGTACTGGAGCTTTTGGTTGAAATCTCACCTACAATGAGAAAGACACATATTATAGAAAAGCCTAGGAACAATAAACGTGTTTGTGATGAAAGAATGAGATGTAAACCTTTCGTTGTGCTGGTTTTTGGTCAAACGATGCTGGATTCATCACAGTTCGATTTTGAACTACTACAAAGATAAAGCCGTGAGTTAGTCACAATGGGGTTAGCGACGAATTCGCTGTACAGGCCCGTCCCTGAGGAAGGGCAGGAGGGGCGGCAGCCCTGGACCCAGGGAAAAGAGCTCTGATTTCACAGTTGAATCCTAATATTTAGTGTTGTGCAATACATTAGCAACCAAATTCGATTCAATTATCTCATAATTTTAGTGATACTTGATTCAATTATCTCATAAATTTAGTGATATTTGATATGATGATAACAAATACAAACAACTTACCTCAAAAGCTGCTTCAATGGAGGATACAAGAACTAAATTCAACGGAGAACGGCAACTGCGCTTCAATGGAGCAATTCAATGGGTTGGACGCCTTGGATCCCTATTAAAAGCCATGACCCATAACCCGCCACAATTATTAATGGGTTAGATCCGTCTAATAAATAAATGAGCCGAGTCTTTATACGATCGTCTAATTATGGGGCATGACAGACTTTATAAGGGTTTAGAGTAACCTGTTTTAAAAGGTACGGATTATTAGTTTATCTTTGCACTTCCATTTCTCAAATACTATCTTCACACACTAAAGCTTGTATAATTTGTTTGTAAGGTATTTTTTTTAAAAAAAAAAAAAACGGTTGAAATTACATTTATTAAATGAGTTTGTAACAAACGAAAGGAAAGTATGATAACATAAGTCAATTACAAATTATCATGTCTTAAATGTGGTTATGATGAGTTTTTCTAAAAAAAAATGTGGTTAGGATGACTCTTTTGTCGTTGCCATTATGACAAATTAATTGTGTCATGTGAAGTGTGAACTATGCAATTGTATAGGTAGTGTTACCTTTGCGGTTTTAACATCAACTGACGGTCACCTACATTTTATTATAAATGCAGTTGCAGACTAGCAAGTCTAGAATTATATAAGTTAGTTAATTGTATGAGTTGGTTAGTGCTTTGTGTAAAACAGAAAATTATTAGTGAATAACTTTGAAAGTGACAACTTTAATACCTTTTTTTTTTTGAAAAAAAAAACCATATAGATCAACCAAAGAAATTTCCAAAATGCGAGGAGGGATTACATCACTCCACACCCATTGCCCAAACTCCCATGATTGAAAGTAAGTCAATTTGTGTGCTACATTATTACCCTTCTTGCTTTACAAAAGACCATGAATCACTAGTAAAATTAATTAGATGAAGAAAAATAATCTAGAATAACCTTTATAATCAAATGAAAGGAACTGAAGCCATACAAAAGCTTCCTCATTGCCTCAATCACCACCAGATTATCACTCTCGATCCCAATGCAGCTCATACTCTTGTGTCTCGCAATCTTCATGCCCCAAAATACGGCTTTGACATCTGCAATCTTAGTCTCTCATTTTTCACTCCAATACATCGTAACTCCCCAAAGCACCACCCCCTCACTATTCTTGCATACTACACCCAGCCCCGTCCCCACCTCCCCCAAAACACCAACTTCAACAATAATTTTAACCACACCAGATGCCGGAGGAGACTCGCCCACATAGACACTCTTTCCACCCCTCCATTCCCCATGTTATTCAACTTTTGCAACTCATGACCCTTGGTATTAATCTTCAAAGCATAGGCAACAATTTACTCAACATTCGGATTTTCAACCTCAATCATCCATTCGTTCCTTGCGCCCCACATAACCCAACACATGTTAAATAAACTCACCATATCCTCTTCAAAATTACCAAAACAGTGCTCCCACCAGTCACCCAAACTACAAAGAGAGTGAGACAAAACCATAGATTAATTGCGCTTACTCCAAATTGCTTAGGCTAAACTGCAATCTTTTAACGCATGCATGACAATAGATTTTTCTTCTCTCTGGCAAACACCACAAGCTAGTAGCCAGGGCACAAACTAGCTACAAAAAAATTAGCTTTAAAATCTTACGTGGCCTAAAAAGTTAATTTGCTAATTAGCTTACCATTGGAGATGTTCTAGTACTCCATTTGTTCCTTTTATTAGATACATTTTGACTTTACACCCTAGTGTCCTAACCAGTCCAACGAACACCCACCCAAACCCTAAACCTAACTCTCGAACCCCATTTATTTGGCGAACTTCCACCCAAACCTCAGCCCTTACTCTTAAACCACACTTATGCGGCGAACTCTCACCTAGCCCCAACCTAGCCGATCGATCGAACCCACACAACTCCCACCCACCCTAGTCGGCACGAACCTATGACCACCCAGCCCTCCACACCAAACCCGACACTCTAATCTTTTTAAAAAATTATTTATTATACTCCCTCCGCCCACAATTATCTACAACATTTGCCATAAATGGGTGCTCTCTATTATGTGCAACAATTTTTTCTTTCCTCTTTATATAAATTTTAAAGAGTAAAAAGACCACCTTACCCTTACTTTAATTTTTTAACTTTGTTTGACATCTTTTAATTTCACTCAATTTTCCACCTTTTTCCCACTCATAAAAGGGGCCCCTCAATTTTTCACCTTTTTCCCACTCACTTCAACCCACCCAAAAACAAAAAGATAAAGGACCACTTCTTTCCCTCCTTTTTCCCACTTAATTAAACCCACCCAAACTTAACTCAACTCCACTAAAATTTTTGCTTAAGAGTCCGCAAAAAGGACGTTGGTGCAGATAATCGTGGGTGGAGGAAATAATTAAAATTAAAAATAATTTTTTGCATATATTTTGTTTTTAATTAAGTCAATTCTTATTTAATTGAGAGTTAATTATAGTAAAAGTCAATAGATGACTTGTTTGACCGGTCACAAGACAAATCTAGTACTTAAATTAATTCTGGAATATAGACATCAATGTTAGACTATTAAAGTTGACTTAATATTGGAAGATCACCTAAAGTTCAACTTATTGTGGTTATTTTTTACATTATTTTATTATATTAGACTTTTCTGCTACTAATCATCTGTAAATGCATTTCTATTTTACACAAATATTTTCCATACGAGAATGACAAAAAAGGCAAAAAGAGAATGGTGCATTATCACACCAAGAATCAACACGAATTTTTTTAGTGTGTCATTAAGTATATAGTTATTGAAATATATACTGATGGATTATTGATTGGTTATTATTTATTGATGATTACTAGTTATTTATTTAAGTAAATATAAAAATATGATATTTAATTATAATTTTTTTCTAACGGATAAATCACAAAAAAAAGTCAAAAGAGAAGTGTGCATGAAAATGTCCAAATGGTCAATCAAAGAAAGGAAGAAAGTATTTAACAAATTATATAAAATTATTTACGAATTAACAAATTACATAACTATTTAACAATTATATAAATAAATGATTTTTTTAAATATCATTTTACCCTAGGTCTCTAAAATGTCTATAAATGTCTATAAATCACAATGGTAAAATCTATAAATCGTTTGTTATTTCCATTTAACACCTTTTCCCATGCTAGATAGACAAAAACAAACACATGGGTTCAAAAATATTTTTTTTTTATTGTCTTTTTTTGAAACCCAATGCAAGTTTATTACAAAATTGCTATGTGGTAAACCATCCAAGTTTATCTAGGAGATCAACTTGGATTTCCTCTAGTCTTATTGAACTAAAATTATTTTTGATAAACTGAAATTATTATACGGAGTATTGAATATTATTATGAAATTTTGTGTTTTACCATCCCTCTAAACAATATATTTAAAATTAACCACCTGTTTTTTTCGCTTATTTTAAAGGAAAAATTAACAAAAATAATCCAAACTATTGACTCCCTTCCCATTTTAATCCCAACTAAGTTTTAAATCAGAATAATCCTAACTATTAGGGGTCCTTCTCAAATTAGTCCCTCTTACTTACAACCTGTAATACCAGTTAAGTTTTTTTATTTTATTTTTTTTGACAATTAACTTTTTATTATTTAATTTAATTATAGTATCACCCATCTTTCACCTACAACCTCAGCCACTTCCATAGCCATAACCACCACTACCCTCCTTTCCATTCTCAAAGACTCTATTGGGGACTCTCCTACTATTCATGATTTTCAAGCTCCCAACTTATTGATTATTAAGGAAGAGAGAGCTTTTGTCAAACAAAAAGATTTTTGTGAAGAGAGTTTGTCTTTCTATTCTTCTTCTTCTTCTTCTTCTTCTTCTTCTTCTTCTTCTTCTTATTTTCTTGAATTTTCTTTTGATTCTTCTTCTTCTTTGCAACTCTTTGTTCATTTATTTTGCATGCACTAATCTTGTTGCATGCCCTTCTCCCCTAATTTTCCTACTTGTTATCTTACGAGATGTGTAGTAGTGCATTTGACAAGGTCTTACGATCGTTGCAATATAATTTACTAGAGCGGTCGAGCTTGGATCTTAAGTAAGTCTTTCTCGGGAAGTAACCTGTGTTTTATTGCTTTCATTTTCTTTTCTTTTTAGTATAGATTTTCTCTCATAGAAATGTTTGTGTGCCCTTTGCCAGGTACATAATTTGATATACTTTGGTTCATTGGTATTGGATCAGAATCAAGGAAGTTTGACTCCTGTTTCCTAACATATGACATATAAGGCATAACTTTGGAGGAAATGGGCTTTGAAAGTTTTAATTAGGTCATTTGTGGGTATATATGAACGGAATGCTGTCCTTCCAACAAGTGTATTCTTCCGATAGAGGGTTCAGAATTATTACGGAGCTAATTCTTCAGTAAGGTCAAGTGATCGGAATGCCTAGGTGGAGGCCGCTTCCAATCAGTAATATCAATGTACAATTGATGTTACAGCTTAATCTTAACTGAACCCTTCGGGTCAAACCTAATCAAATCACCGATCCGAGACGACAAATTAATCCGAAAGGATTTAATGAGTCAGTAGAGTTTTACGAATACAGACGTCGGATATCGAGCCTAGGGCGTCGAGACCGAGCGTCGCGAAATCACAAAGCGACAAGTATGAACATAGCCCTAGCACCACACTGGCCTAGCCATGTGGATGCTAGGCTAGTTCAGGCTAGCATCCACCAAGCATGGCTAGGCGCAAGCCCAAGCGCACTAGGTGTGCTAGGCAGCCCATCGCAAGTGCTATGGGCACCATAGCACATCATCGCAGCCCATACAACATCACTAGGCGCACCATGCGTGCCCTAGGATGGCTGGGCACCATCGCAGCCCAGGAAACATCTCTAGGCGCACCATGCGTGCCCTAGGATGGCCTGGTGCCGTCGCGGCCCAAGCACAATGTTGGGCGCATAGCAGGACCACACGCACCAAGCACAGCTAGTGCTAAGCACTGGCGCATGCGTGGTGCGTGGTGCTTGGCCGAGGCTTGTGCATGCATAGTACATGGTGCAAGGCCGAGGCTGATGCGTGTGGCTGTGCGAGTGTATGCGAGGGAGAGCTAGCAAGCAAGC